CCTATCGCTGAGAAAGGGAAATAAGGGGGCAGAAAGAGACAGAAGACCTCCAAAGAACAGGATTAATTCCAGGTGAAATGAAGAGTTTCTCAGTATCAGTCCAAGTGAGCAACATAGATTAGGAAAGCCTAGCTTATAAACTAACCTGAAACAATGTCTATATATACGTTACAGATCAAGTTTTATCTCATGGATGTCCTAAAAGATCAATTCCTATTCTATGACACAAGCGGCTGTTGATGGAAAATGGCCACCCCAATAGTCACTTGTTCTCAAAGCAACCGCTTGAACTAGATGGCTGCAAGGAGTTCTTGGACCCATAGGCTGTTTCTTGAAAAGCAAGGCTTGGGGAAAATGGATCAGTGAAGGGACACAAATTTGGAAAACTTTCCTTCTAACCTTAAACTATATCATATAAACTATAACACTTGACAAAATTGAAAGGGGGTCACCTTCCAAGTCAATTTGTCGTCGTTGTGTGCCACTGATTTGATGGCCACCCTATGGACGGAACAGACTCAGCCTGTGTGCCCAGGGCTGTCATCTGGACGGAAGAAGACTACGCCTTCCCCGCATGGAGCAGCCAGGGGCCACAGCACAGCCTTGGGGACAACCAGGCACTGAGCCTCTGCAGCACCAGGGTGCGCCAATGAAACATATTAGAAACACACACTCTTCACCAGAATCAAACTCATTTTAAAATAAATGTAGGCATAAAGCTTTCAGTTATAAAGCATTTGTTGCTAGGTGCTGTTAAGCAAAGTCCAACTCTTAACGACTCTGAGTGCCACAGAACAAAACCCTGGCCAGTCCGGTGCCATGCTGGCAACTGTTCTTATGTTAAAAACATCACAGAGTAACAGTAAGATTTTTGAGAGAAGTGACAATACATTTCTGGTTAACTCCCCGGCCCTCTCTAGTTAATTCTTAAAAAAAAAATTCTGGAAATTTCTCAAACAAGTGTCCATAATATATCTCTGGAGTTCAAATATACATTTCATCCCACGTTACTGGTTAGCCCAGTCAGGACAACAGCATACGAAGCTTTTTATAATCCAAAGAAGATTCTTTGCAGCACATGCTCATTCATGTGTAGAAGAGACTCTTACATAGGAGATGAAGGTGGGGAGAG